GTGCGCATCCATGCTCCAGCCCCACAGGACTCATAATCATGATCTCAACTATTGAATTACTATAGTATCTACTAAACCGCTTTCTGGTATTATAATACATTGCGAAACAAGTTATAACATGATAATATTTACAAAACATGAAACAATTAAAATATTTACTTAGAATAATTAAAAAATAGTAATAGGCGTTTAGTTCATTGTTGTTCAATGAAAATAAGTACACAAAACTTCCTTAACTGTTTATAAATAAAAATAACGTTAATGAATAGAAAGAAATTTCTTCTCAGTTTATGAGATATCTATCACTATAAGTCATAAGCTTTATAAGCAAAGACGGATAGTGATTAGCAGTGGGACCCAGGATGCGCGTTTCGTCCTAGTTGGGACTCGTCAGATGGATGTATCTGCATCTTAGAGTTCATGTTCACTCTGAGACTCAAACCTTGTAGTATTCACTTCAAACGCCATCGTGTTATCTACTTAGCTACTGAATCCTGATAGCTACCTGCTTGTGCAATGGGGTGAAGTTTAAATTCACTAGGTATTGTTTACTTGAATCTTCCCATTGATGTTTAGAACTGTAATTGATCAGTCTCTTATTGGCATACGTGCATACTGCCTTGATATAACCTTAATTCACAAGCATTATATGCAAAGATAGATAGTGGCTGTCAGTGGAATCCAGGACGCACGTTCATCTTATTCGAGACTCGTCAGCTGGATGTACCTGCATCTCAGAGTTGGTGTTCACTCAGTCTTATAAGAAATCATCGTAAATATGCTTTCTGAAAGTGTATAAAAAAAATACCGAAAATATAGTTTTGATAATTATCAACACTAAAGCAACATTTCACCTCAATATTTCTTTCCCTAAACCATTGTGCTAATATTCTTCACATAGATTTCGAATTATTTTCAAATCGTCAATTGAATTAGAATATTGTGGAAATGTCAATTCGATCACATAGTGTAATCAATTGAATTCAAGGAATAAACATTGATAAAAAATGAGGAATATCAACTAACAAACTGATTTATTTACACAAAATAGTTATTTCATATTGATTTTGTGGTAGTCTACCATCATTATCTATATATGAAGTAAGTATAAATGCTTTGTCATGAATCCCTTAGTTTGTGCTTATTAGAGACAGCTCAAGTAGTTTTTTAGCAACTTTCTACACTTGTTATATAAATGAGATATCCATCTGTCAATTAACCTGCAGGTATCCTACACAGAAATCCTTTCAATTTTTTGATTAATAGTTATGAAGGTAGAAGCTGTGTGTAAGTTGGAAGCATTTGATCATCTTTGGCCTCAAGGTATTGCTCGAATATCGTGAAACAATTCAGTTAGTTGTGTTGAAATTTGATATAAAACACTAGATAAAGATATTGTATTGGTTAGTGAAGCTCTAAATTTTGATTGACTGAAGAAGTCGGGATATGTATTGGATATGCACAATCACCGCCTAATGTATCTCTTAATTTTCGATTTGATAGGAGTGGGTGGGAAAAACAACTCCGAACTTTAGATATTATAAACAATAGTCAATAAAACAAGTACATCTAATTGTTTTGCTCATACATTGTCATCTTGTCCAACAATGCCTAACGTATGAAGGCCAGATCATCGGAACTCCGGCACAATCAAACAAGTCCTAATAGTTTCCTTAGATCAACTTCGATAACACTATATGTCTAGGTAAAATTTATGAGATAACTGGAAACTCCATCTTATAATTTCAATCACTGACTTATAAGGTATAATTAAAATCAAATAAGGACAGAAATAAAGAGCAAATAGCTAATGAGTCAAAATTCTATGAATATCGTATTACAATCACACATTGTGTATCATTACACTAATAAATCAATACATTTCTCAAGCTATAACATGTTGCAAACCAGTTCGCTATCTGTTACTGAAGTTCAAATATGATGCAATTGGTTTAATAGTGAAAAGTAAAATGAAAATATTTCGCAGAAAACATTTACTTCAGTAGAGTCATATATTTTATTTCACTATGGCTCTCTCCTAAAGGTAAGAAAGAACAGAGAGTGTGCTTGCATTTACCTCTTCTATGTGTACCTAACTATTCAATTGTTTCAGAGAAGCATAATCAGGCATATCAACAGCTGAGTACCACCTTGTTTACGATCAGATAAAGGACAAATAAAAACTTCGTACTCATCAAATTGATAAACGCAGAAAATCAGGTTAAATTGAATAAAATCTTTCGAACGACTTCTTGTATTCCGTCTGGTTTATTAGTAAATCTACATACATCCGAAGTCATCCGTATCCACCTAGAAAACCTGATCTTTATCTATCAAGTAAATTCGTGCAAACCTTTTTTATTAAACTTGAAGTCGAAGAACTAACAGGGATTTACAAATGACATGTGACCTCTCATTTTCATGATGTACATTTCATCCCTCTCTGAATAAAAATTGTTGATACTCTAGATGGTGGTTGGAGGTAGTCAGCAGGAAACTCTGGACCCGGGTTTCGCGCTACTTGGCACTCGTCAGCAAGGTGTACCTGTAATCTTGGGGGAACTGGTGCTCCCTGATGGATCCGATCCCGTGTCACCCAGCTTCACAGTCAGAGACGTTACCACTGGGCCATCCGGGCCGCGAACGACCTTTTATAGGACTGAGTTGTAATCAAAATTGATTGATCACTGGGTTGTGACCAATGTCATGTATGTCAAGTCCTTCTTCATCATCAATATCAAATCCATACGCGGTTCATAAAGAAAAGAGAATTGAAGAACAAATTCTTTGTTCAGTTCCGACACGTTATCAAAACATTTCGCTGTTACTTTCTACCTACTAATAAGTAGTTCAAATGTGTCTAGACGATAATTTATGGACGAATCGATTAGATTTAGGGCAGCAGGTATTGGATTTTGGCACGAAATTCTTTCATCAATATAGCTAAATAGCACTTGACATTATAGCTGATGTCAGTTCCCGATGAAAACCTTAGCGCCCAACTGTTAATTCTAATCCTGACTCATCAAACTAATTTACAATCAGCATTTAATCCTAGTATTAAGGTAAATTTTCTCAAGGTCGGCTAAGCGTCGCACAAAAGCCATCCGTAAATCATAATCTCACCGAAAAAATCTAGTAAGTGAATTCTTCATGCCAATTCAAACTTAGAAAGCAAGTATGGCAGTGAAGTAGTTTTCTTCCTCAAGATTTTATTTTTCGGTAGCCATGAATTCATGAGAAATTACCAATGTAATTAACTAGTTTGATTGTGTTGTTAGTATGAACGTGTATGTGTAGAATACGTGAAGTACAGTTTAGACTCAATGGTAAGAACAAGTTGTGGAGTGACGGCTCAGTGGTTAAGGCGTTCGAATTTTAGCCACTAATTCTTTGGCTCGAATCCTGCTCCACGTACCTCAGTTTCGTCAGCAGGATAGTCCCCATACTTAGAGTGTGGTGCCTATCTAAGTATCTAGTTAATAAGTGAATTTTAATTAAATTTTGAAATGAGTTGATACATAGAATCATCGACTGATTTGAATATTATATGACGCATAGGCAACTTATTTTATCCATCAATAAAAAATTGCACTTCATGAATACTAATCATTGTAAAAGTGCATACTAACAACACAAATATACTTATTCAGCACGTTATTCATATCACTATTCTTATAAACCAATGCGATTTGAAGAATTGGGAAACAGAAGACCATCAATGGTGAAACGTCAAATAACGGAACTTACCAATGGAGCATAAAATTAACAACAGTAATTTTATGAACAAACACATCCAGTTTAGAACTTTTAGTGAATTGCAAAAATGTATACTGATAATTATCATGCATTCACTAGTGACTGGTTTCAAGAGGTATTTCCTGGAGTTCTAGTGAGAAGCCGTGGTCAGTGGAGTTGGACCGTGTCTGTTGTGAGGCAGTCACTCACTGGAGACAATAGTGGACGGTCGTGTGAATTGGTTGGAGTTAGACATTAACACCGTTGGATGCCAGCTTAGTGATCTAGAGGTTAAACGTTCACTCACGAGACCGAAGATCCTAGCCCGCGTGCGAGAATGTGGGTCCGCACTGCGGAGAAGTCCCATACTAGAACGAAACGGCCGTTCAGTATTTCCAGGTTTTCAATAGTGATCTAACATTGATTCATCATTATTATTTATTTAAGCACAAACATTGGTACAAGGAAGCACCAAATAGATATGCGATACATAAATCCTTCGATTTATGTGAGAGCTGGGATACTAACCTGGTGCCCAAACTGAAGCAGGTTATTTTCTTAGGGGGCCACACCCCGAGCCTTCGACCTAAAGATCTGATCCACAAGGTAATGGAGTAAAGTAAGAAGATACAGTCCCATGGTATCCAGTGGCCAATAATTGGTTCATACTCTATTTGTTTTCTCAGGATCCTGGAGTCCATGTGCACGATTGGTTTGGAGTAAGGGTTTTCCAACATCCCTAGGTAAATCCTCCGTATTCACGAATCCGATTAAAGCGCCGGACATTCACTTTTCGTCCTCTCAATTTCGTAGACAACGCCCCCGCCACTAGAAGACAGTGAGTAGGACTTCCCTGGCAGTGGTTGTATGCACGTGGCCACTTTAGACCATTTCAAGAGAGCTAACTCTCCCCACTCTCGGCCATACCAGGGCAATTATAATTGTGTAATTGTTGATACTTGAATACAATTGTAAACAACTGACAGAAGAGCTCATATTATGTCGCTGAGATTATTTCTACTAAATTAAAATTTATAAGAAATCAGTTTAAATTGATCACTTAAACTTGTATACTGTCAATCAATACGACGTTGTTTTTCTTCAGAATTGGTATCACATACCTTAGCTGATGTCAATCACGAAAAAAAAATGTCGAAGCAAATTTCCACTAAATCTCACGTTCAAAAATTACACATTAGGTTGAAACAATAAATATAGAAATGCTCCCTATTTTCCTTTTTTTTAAAAAAAAAGTGTCAATGTTTTAATATAAATGCATTTTATTACATAAAACTATGCAAGTCAATTAAATAAAATCTGTAGAAAGAAACAGTGAAAGTAGGATTTCAAATACATTCAGCTCAGAGATAATAACTAAATTTACAGCGGTCTACTTGAATACCTGAGTTACTATGTTCTTTCTACCATTTATATATTTCAACAGTTTTTTTTCGATTATTTTAACAGTCATTAATAATAATAATAATAAGTATGCAACAAAACTTGGTCGAATAAATAATTGAGGGGGGTAATTTATTTATAAATGGGAAGTAGAATGGTGTATACAGGTAGGGAATAATGAGGGGAAGAAAAATCAAATGAATGAAGTTATTATCAATTTAGTTTGTGTTTATTTTTGTTTTCGTACAAATACAAATCCTTCATGTTCAACATCTTTATTCATCATTGTCATCGGAGCTGGGCAAACCTGAATGTTGAGAAAAGAAGAATAGAACTTTTAAAAATTGTTTCATTTGCAAAATTTCATAGTTTTATAAAGCAAATGTCGTAAATAACGAAAAACTGTAAATGAACAATTAATTAATTAACTAAGTTTTTTTAAAAACTAGCTTCCATCGTTTTTTTTGTAAAAAACCTTGTTGTTAATAAGTATTTAATCGAAATTGCTGTGATGTGCAGTGTCCGAGAATTGACAACAATATACGAGCTCAACCGACTACTGGAGTGAAAAGATAATGAGAATGGAATTTTATGATTAATCGAATTCAGTCAGCTACAACGTAGGACCAGGCACATATATGCATCGGTCCAGGTTGCCATACCGCATCAACACAACAAGATGAACACCAGATTCATAACAGTGGTTAGGTTAAAGGTGGTAATATATGGGAGAAAGATTGCATATAAGGATACAGTACCGTAGAAAGAAAGATCTGAAGCGATTTTAATCTCATAGTTTAAGGGAAGACAGGGAGCGTATGCACCGACGCCATTGTGATCGATTCTGAGCCATGTCACCAAGAGTCTCCAACCATCGGTTACGAAAGTCACGCGGACCCCAACCTAGTAGTCTGCATCTACCAACATGGCTCAGACTAGAGGTTAGTGTCTTCAAGCACTGATGCCACGTTTTGGTTTGGCCGCCCCTAACTTTCTTCCAACCATCTCCAACACCGGTTAGCATTGCACGTCGTGGTAATCGGTGTTCAGGCATACGTAACACGTGGCCCAACCATCTCAGTCGATGAAGATTCACAACCTCATCAACTGATTTACCATCATTACCTAATACCCTGCGTCTAACCTCACTATTACTTACCCGGTGATCCCAACAGACGCCAGCATCTGTGGTCAAATACTAGTAGCTTACGGGTGTCTTCTACTCTTAAAGGCCATGTTTCGCTGCCGTAAAGTAGGACAGAACGGACTGCCGGATTAATCGAATTAGCATATATACATATGATATGTCTCTTGGGAAATTAAGTCGCTAATGGTATAATGTCTCATTCCTTAAAAATAAATAAAAACTACTTAGTTAGTCACATGAACTTATCATCTGGCCAATGTACGATATTTGTCTCCTGAAAATAGGTTTGACTTCTCGGAATCAGCCGAAGTTGGGATGGAGGTATTAAAAAAGCAAACAGTTATTCATTAAAAAAGTGTTATCTGGCACAAATATTTTTCGTTTTGATTGTTATACATTGGATAAACGTAATGAGGGAAAATTAGGAATATGAAATTATGGAAGAGATGTTTAGAAATTACACTGTTGGAGATTTTTTAGAATCCTTTTCAAGCGAAGGTAGGCTTTTCTTTCATTTAGATCACAGGATGTTAAGAAGATTATAAGAACCTAACAAAGTAGAATGAATGGCTACGTTATTCTGCCTAGATCGTTGTTCTTGCTTCTTTTCTAGTTAATCAAGTGAACTATGAATTTGAAGATAAAGGATAGAAGTGATACCATAAATGGTAATTAAAAGTTAGTCAGAAAACGAATGAAAATATGGAAATCACGTTTAAATTCGCAGTTCGATGGTTAAATCAGTTCATTAAGTCACTGATTGTTAAATTGAGTCATATTGGTTAATCCAGACTGTCTGGTTGATACCTAGGAAATAACAGAGAACAGTAATTGGAATCGTTGGTTGATAACTGAGAATCGATTACAGTGCAGCGGATGCATTCATTTTATTGTCCTCTATATCTTATGTTGCAGTATCTCTTTGTACATACTTTTAAATTACTTTGTCTCCAGTCATAAAACCAGATAAACGAGTGAAAGTGTATGATTAAAACAACACATAGATCCATCCTAACATATTTGGTCAATAACCGTTATGTAGTAGATAGAAAGATCATTTAGAGGAATTTATCATACATCGACTATCCTTCCTCAATGGGTCTGATCTTGACTCTCACATATAGCAGAACCTATAGGGATTCGAACTAAAGACTCAAGTCTCTGTATTTATAAGAAATTTGTAACACCCTTATCTCTTTTTGACTAAATCAACCTTAATAAACGATTTTGCTGTTTATTATTTTCCAGATCCTCAGTTCGTTTGTATTTGTTCTTCACTCTTCAATATCTTTCAGTGTTTAATTATTTGAACATTTCATATTATAGAATTTTGATTACGTTTTATCAATGTTTCATCTTACCTACTTTCATCTTAACCTACTTCCTATTACGAAATATTGATTCAACCCTTTATTATTCATATCGCAACTAATACACCTATTGTTACACTATCAATCTATACTTTTTACTTCTCATATTTTAGTAAGTAATCTATTCCATTGTTATCATGGATTTATAAACTAGCTTGATTGTTTTAATATCTTCATATATACATTCAAATATTACTGCATATAAGAGTAAAGTATGATCAGGATCTAACACAAAACAATGCTGTTCTTCTATATGTCTTATTCTCATTTGATACTCAATAATGATGTGATGTGATTTACCGAAATGGGTTAATGTTAGTCAAAACTAACTAATTTGATGTTACAAACTCTACTGGAAACTCATTATTTTATGATTGAGAATTAACCACTTAATGTATATGTATACATATTTCAATAAGTTTTATATAATGACTTTAAAATTTAACGTAAATCAAATAAGCTTAGATAACAAATGCCCTGGTACGGCCGAGAGTGGGGAGTCCGCTCTCCCTCTCGAAATACTCTCACATGGCCACGCGTATATAGCCTCTGCCAGGGAAGTCCTACTCACTGCCTTCTCGTGGCGGGGGTGTTGTTTACAAAAATGAGAGGACGAAAAGCGAATGTCCGGCGCTTTAACCGGATTCCAAACCAATGGTGCACATGGGCTCCAGTATCCTGCGGGAACAAATGACGAATGAACCAATTGTTGGTCACCGGCTTCCATGAGACTGCATCTCCTTACGATGCTCCACTGCCTTGTGGATCAGACCTTCAGGTCGAAGGCTCGGGGTGTGGCCCCCTAAGAAAACCACCTGCTTCGGTCTCGGCACCCGGGCAGTATCACAGCCCTCACACATATCGAATGAGATTTGTGTGGCGCATATGTATTTGGTGCCTCTTTGTACCAATATCTATGTGTTGAAATAAATAAATAAATAAATAAAAACAAAGAAACCTGTACTGATCCTAATTTTAAAAAATGTACCGCAGTAATCAGTACAAATAGAATAAACATATCAGAATTATTTCCAATCAGGTATTACTTTTCTCAATAGACATCTTTTATAAATAAATCAGAACAATCCCCAGTTCACTGAAATGAAAGTTTTAAACATGTGAAATTATGTTTCGGCATACCCTATCGGTCTTTAGCCTTTGGTGGTGGTTTCGAACGTCTAATGGAGAACCTACTTTCGGATGAATAAAAACAATTAGTTTCAATGAAGTAATAATTTAGAATTCTTGTTACCGCAGTCATGTCATCTTACATGTCTATTTCAAAGTGAAATTGACAATATTTCTTGAGATGAGTTTGTCACATAACTAACAGTTTATGGGAATGAAAATTCCTGTGATCCCATTATCGTTTGAAGATCAAACTAAAATCATGCGCCCTTTATTATTGTCTGAGGCTGAAACCTTTGCCGTAATTTACTTCGTTTATGAAGCCTACGAGAGGAGAAGAATTGCACAAGATATTTCTAATATGCGTTGCACCGTATTTAAGCAATCAAAACTTGCATGTATGTTTAATTGTTATCACTAAATTTGCCTAATAAGTAGTTTTGGAACATTTATAGCACATATCGTTTAGGTCGGAGGCGAAGCACAGAAGCAGCGTGACGAAGACGGTCAACTAGATTATTATTTCTTTTCAACACGAGATCAGAACGTGCCTTAACATTTTACGGACATTACAGGAATTTAAGATACTTGGATACATAATAACGAAAGAACGCAATTCTACCAGTTAATGACATCGAATGCCTATACTGGCAGGCTAAGGATTCGTAACGAAGCAAATACCTGATGTAAATGGGAAGTTCTCATCTTTTTTGCACGATACTGTTTTGTCCGAGTTATCAGTCGAATGTTTTATCAGTGATGACAGCCTTCCCACGCAAGATGACCTATCTACCGACTTCCCAGTAGCTCATCATATTTTGTGCAGAGTTCACATTATAAGTAATGATTTGTAGCGAATAAGTTAACTACATCATGTGGACATGATTTCTTCAGGATATGCCAACCAATACGTTTCACCTATTTCTACAATTAATGTACACAAAAAATGTTGGGTGGTAAGAATGTATCAGGTGTACACTAATATTATTTTTACATCCCATTTGTGCCTCAATGCCATTCAACAGGAAAATCCCTGTCGCTGAAGGAGGAAGAATAGATTCGAGCGTTTGAGCCACACACTCAACTTTTTCTGCATAACAATATCAACGTTTTTGAAGCCATGTACAAGGTTAAAAAGATGCATATTTTAAATCGAAAGTGTCCTGTTCTATATTGTGTACCATATTTGTTTCTGCAAAAAGGCTACTGTTCGCACACATGGTATCACAATATAATCAAGAAAGGTGTTGAGTTGATTATTCGTAACACTCAGGATATTTTATACTTACGAAGTCGCATAAGTCTGAGCGCTTGTCAATTTTTAAAAAATGACAATGATAATCGCAGACTAGTGAAGATACCAATTTAAAGTAACTTAAGTAAAATGTAACTAAACGACGATGTTTCATGTAGTCAGCATCCTTGATAAACTTTATAAAGCAACAAGAACGGATATTAGTGAAATATTTTATTTGCTTGTCTAATTCAGTGTGCATATATAGCATACAAAGTTGGATGAATTCACTACATTTGAGACTTGTCTGCTAAATGCACCTATATCCTAGTATTGTATATCGACTTGTGACAAAATAGCTAGATCGAAACGATCCATTTACGATGTATATATTTCAGCAAAGACATATTAAAATCTAGTCTTGAATATCAGCAAAGTGGATGATTAAAAACTCTCCAAACAAGATACAACTGAAGTTAAAAGATACAAATATTGAGATGGTGAAGAAGATTTGTAGCTCAGGTGGATGATTTTGATGGAGTTTTGTTCTTTGAAATGGATGGTTTGGTCGTAGAGCTTTCATCGTTCTTCTCAACGACATCGTCAGCACAAACTTGAAGACTTCTACTTGAAATTTGTGTAGATGATGTCGTTCAGAAGAACGATGAAAGCTCCACAACCAAACCATACGGCTCAGAGAACAAAACTCCATCAAGAAACAAATACTTTCCGCAAATAAAGAAAACTGAAGTTAAACAAAAGATGGGATTAAAATAATATTATTTTGTTTAAATAGCGATTTGTTAAATGAAACATTCTCATCACTTCTTAAATAATATCTAATGTGAAATTACCTCACCCATGATATCGCTGCTTTCATCATCATCTGTAGCATACTCACTTTCCATTGCCCACAAAATTGGTGGTGAACGTGATTTTTCAACTATTTCTTGTTGAGTTATAAATGGATAATCTGTGTCAGTAAATTCTGAGAAATTATCATTATTATTATGATTATTATGGGATTTGCTATGTCTAGTAGTGTTTTTTGTTGCAATTTCATGCTCACCAAGAGCTTCAGAAAACAAACGATCCAATTCCTCAGAACTAATATCGGAAACTTAAGAAAAAAGCAAAGGAAATCATTGTATAAGTAAGATTGTGAAGTTAGGGGAAAAGAAAATTTGGTTTTTAATTTCTTCTGATTATTTCATGTTATTAATTTACCAAACAAACTAAACTATTTAAACTCTGTCCCGGGAGCTAAAGAAAGAATTATGATGCCTCAGGATGAAAGCCCAGATTCTTCAGAAGTCACGAGGCCGATGCACCTTCTAACATCTAGAGCAACAATTTTTGTAGGAACATGGGACGTCCGGACAATGTGGGAGACTGGAAGGAACAGTCAAATACGTTCTGTTCAGGAAGATTCGGAAGGAAGAACAAATGCCGATGGACTGGAAAGAAGGACACCTGACCAATATACCAAAGAAAGATCTGAGCAAATGTGAGAGCTACACAGGCACCACATTACTATCGGTACCACGAAACGTTTTCAATAAAGTGTTGCTGAACCAAATGAAAGACTCAGTAGACGCCCAACTGCGAGATTAAAAGGCTGGATTCCGTAAGTATCGATGGTGCACATCCTAAATTGCGACGCTACGGAACATCGTGGAACTAGTCACCATAAAACAACTTCATAAACCATGAGAAGGCGTTTGACAGTGTAGACAGGTGAACCTTATTGAAACTTCTTCGACACTATGATGTACCTGAGAAGATCATCAACACAATCCGGAATTTATACGACGGATTAAAGTGCAAATTCGTGGGTGGAGAACAGCTGACAGACGTATTCCAGGTGAGGAACGGAATTAAACATGACTGCTTACTCTACCCCTCTCTCCTTCTTCTGGTGTTCGACTGGATTATGCAATATCTGACTGTTATTCGATGGACATGACATTCAGAATGCTTTCTCGTTAATTATTTTTATATAACGATTTGTAGGCAAAGTTATCACACTGATTGTACCATTTATTTCTCAAGTAAATCACTCTGTTTGTTTTCGTTGTATTGTACAAACTAGATTATTCTCATTTTTGCATCATTTATATCTAAAACTTCATTATCACCATATGTTTTGTCTCGGTAAAAAATTATTTCTAGTTATTCTCCGGAAAACATGTTTGATATTGCAATTGACGTTGGTCGTTATTCAGAATTTATACCTTGGTGTAACCAATCAACTGTTTTGGAACAAGGTGAAAATAACATGCTAGCTTGTTTGGGTGTTGGATTCCCTCCACTTAGTGAATCATACATGTCTCGAATAACATTTCAGCGACCGAAACACTTAAAGGTGAGTGAACATTTATGTGTTTGTTCATTGTTGTCTATGAATGAATATGAGAAATATAAAGTGTAGGGTGTTCATTCCAAACGAAGATTGTTCAACTGAGGCCAGAGTTTAGATGGTTTAACTTGTTTATTCTAGTTGTCGTTTTTCAGCACGGTTGTTTTCCACGGGATGGGGTTGCTGACTCTATGCCCAACCCTCCTTCTTTACTCGGGCTTGGGACCGGCAGTAACCCGAGAATATTTATTTAGTCATAAAGTCGAATTTGTGTAGTTGACATAAAACAAACACAGGATTAGAAAGAAACCACTAAGGCTACTGCTGACTGTGACTAACTTTTGATCAACTAAGTTAAAGTAGACTGGAGTATTTTTAAGATACCAATAAATACCGGTCATCAAGATGAGGCATAGTGGTTAAGGCATTTTATCATTTTGTAGTTAGTTCAAACCTTGTCCCAATTAATTAAATTTGAACGGTCACACAGTGCTACTGAGCTTCGTGAAAAAGTGCAATTTTAAGTTGAACACATATTTTTACTGATAGACTAGATCCAAAAATACTAGGAGTCAAATATAAACGAAAAATCAAACAATTATAATTTCAAATATAGGTGGTTGAAATGAAATGCTTCTCATGTTTCAACTAGAATTAGTGATGAATCTTAAATCACAACGATTACCAGAATCTCTAGTCCTCTGAACTTACGGCCTAATACCATTGAGCCATTATTGTGAGAGTGATTTGGTGGTATTGTATTTCACTATGTATAAGTTTTTTGAGCTGGTCTTTGTAACGGATTAGGTGAGTACGGACTTAAACCTAAAAATTAGTGGTCGGAAGAAGTGTTTTAATTAATTCATTTGATAACGGACCTATGCTTTGTACAGATGTATTAGGAATGCTGCGGATATGGTGTTATTAAAGATAATATACCTAGTAAAAGTGCTGTACACCCAACAATCAGTTAAAAATAGATTATGGCAAGCTGACTAACTCGCCCATATTACCTTAAAGAACACAATGTATTTCAGCAGTCATCATTTTAGATAGAAGCATGCGGCTAATATAAACCATATTTCCGTCCTAGATCTTGAAAGTACAGAAATATAATAAATAATCACTTTCCAAGTGGAAAATAATTGTTAGGTCTAGCAATTCGAAACCTTTGTTGAATGTCTGATTGAACATCGAAAAAACGGACATATCGGTATAATTGTTAGTTTAGAATTTAACTGATAAGGTTTTGAGAATTATATGGTCTTTTACCTCAGATATTGAGTAATGTATACTGCTCTTGATTATTTCAATATGAATTTAATCTTAACAACTTAACAAAAAGTACGCAATCCACATTAACTCAAAAGCATTAAATTCACTATAGGTTTACCTACCAAACTGTTTGATGAATACTGCTTCAGAGTTATCTAGTTCTTCTGACTCGAGCTGACTAGATTCCACTTTCGTGGGTATGTCTGTTAAAAATCCATCAGGGAATACGGAGGAATTAGCAGCATTTGCAGCTTCAACAATAGGCTCGTAAAGTTCTCGTTCACCGGCATCGCGTTCTTCAGGAGATTCTAACGGATTTTTATCGAATTCTGCTTCAATACGCGTTAAAATAGGTTTAATCAAATTCCAAACACGAGAAATTACACGATGGTGCAGCAAAGTTGGCAAAATGAGACAAATATTGAGAGCTATGTAAGCTAAGGTTACGCCGGAAACATACATGCTAAGTACGATGCATCCAATGCTAATAGTGCTTGATATAATGAAAAACTAAAAGAATATTAAGAAAAGTATATAATTATTCATCAGCATTAATTGAATAACACACCAATATACTGGAAAATGGATCTGTTAAACAATAGGATGCTATCAGCAGTTCCAAAACCATAGCTTTAGATATACCTAATCTAAACGTTGAAGCTCAAGTCAATGAATCTTTCCATTTCAACAACTTTGAGTACATAACTTAAAACTTTAAGTCTCTTAATTGATACTAAAGGAATTATGGTTTGATGCTATTTTACTATTTATCAAGATTTTCTATCGATGAGAGTAACAAATTGTTACGAACGAAATATGAATTAATCATATGAGATTAATGATCCCAGATCTGTGGTATAACAAACAGTAGCTCATCAAACACCCAGTTCCAAGTCATGTTCTTAGTGTATAATCAAGTAATGACAGCCGACCAAACCGCAGTAAGTGGGTTGGAGTTTGAACTTGTGACTTATTGGTTGAATACTGATTGCTTTAGTCATCATTTCATTATTCAGACTTAAAGAACAGATTTTTAATAGATTAGGTAAAGCCAAACTGTAGGACTGATGAGCGGTTGGATTGTGGATATGACCATCAATGACATATGATACACACACTGATTAAAAAAATCATGTTTTTCATAACCATGCAAAAATCTCATTGATTTGTCTCTTAAGTATGATGAAGCACTCTAAATAGGTGAGACTACAAAGTTGAAATTACTCTTTTCTATTTTCGATTTTATTGTCAACCAAGTTAGTATAGCTCTTTGTATAGAGAAGATTCGTGAAACGTTACCTTTATTTATTTAAACACATAAACATTAGTACATGGAGGCCTCCAAATGCCGTGGTACGGCCGAGGGTGGGGAGAGTCCGCTCTCCCTCTCGAAATACTCTCACATGGCCACGCGTATATAGCCTCTGCCAGGGAAGTCCTACTCACTGCCTTCTCGCGGTGGGGGTGTTGTTTACGAAAATGAGAGGACGAAAAGCGAATGTCCGGCGCTTTAACCGGATTCCAAACCAATGGTGCACATGGGCTCCAGTATCCTGCGGGAACAAATGGCGTATGAACCAATTGTTGGTCACTGGCTTCCATGGGACTGCATCTCCTTACGATGCTCCACTGCCTTGTGGATCAGACCCTCGGGTCGAAGGCTCGGGGTGTGGCCCCCTAAGAAAACCACCTGCTTCGGTCTCGGCACCCGGGCAGTATCACAGCCCTCACACATATCGAATGAGATTTGTGTGGCGCATATGTATTTGGTGCCTCTTTGTACCATTATCTATGTGTTGAAATAAATAAATAAACATGGAGGCACCAAATAGATATGTGCCATATAAACCATTCGATTTGTGTGAGGGCTGGGATACTGCCCGGGTGCCCAAACCGAAGCAGGGTTACCTTAATTAACGGATAATGAATGCATGGTCGTGCAAATTTTTTTAACTCCAAACAAGTTATTAGAAATGGAAATGTATGGTTAAGAGAAATAAACATGCCAATACAAAGTATGGAAATACACATTATAGTAGTGTTCGGGATGTGCAACCTCCAATTCTGTAAAATGTTGGGAAATTGAGATATTTATTGACAGTATAAACTGTATCAGAAGCACCCTTTATTGATGATATATGTATAACTAAAAGTAGCAGAATCAAAAATGTGACAAGAAAGAAATTTAATGCTTTCATTAATTAGTAGTGAGTATTTCCTGACTACTCACATAGAATTAGTTCAAAAATAACAAATCGTTTGTCAAAAAAAATAAGAAAGTCGGGTTGTTCAGACAGCCCCCTGTGATTTGCTTTTGCTCCTGTAATGTGAAGTGGTTATGCATAAGAAGCTTGCTTTCTAAGAACTTTTAGAGGTATCTTGGACAATGAAAAAATGATGGGAACAGTGTATTGCCACAAAGGAAGAAACTTACACAGGGTAAAATCGACGTATTCTAAGTTGACTAGAATAGTTTTTATTTCATCAGTTTTTGAGATATTGGATAAAATGAGTATAATTTAACTTAGAATTTAATGATAAAACTCGAAACGATATCACGAGAAACTACCACCATGCCAAACTTTTGTTATAATTTTAATTCAGAACTTGAAAAGGAAGCCAAAAGAGGAAGTTTAGTGTTGAAGGTCGTTGTAGGAGGAATAGTAGGAACTGAAGAGAGAGGCTGATTACTAATACAGTGGTCATGAGTGCTGTTATAGGTATGAGGGCGGCTATCACATCCCGGTTGCCCACACCGTGGAAGGGTTTTTCTGGAGGTACCTGAAAAGGAGGTTGGATTAAGGGTGGTCTTAGAGACCTGAGAGCGTGACCGCAGTGCCCAAGGGACAACTGCTTGTGGTCGGTTACGCACGACCTTTTTATGAGTAATTTTCGTGTCAGCTCCGTACTTGTTGAGACTTTACCGCCGGAGACAGATATCCACGGGATAAGGCGAGGTGGGCATTTTTAGGTTAGACCTTTTCTAACCCCACCCCTCCTTGTTGGAAAGCAGCATCGCTGTCACGCTGGTTGTCTGAAGGAAACACGTTACTGCTGTCACACATCTGTACAGTCAGCAGTACGACTTCGCCTTCGGACCTTGGGTTTGTTGCTTTTAGTCTTACCGCTCTTCAACCGACCTATCTGGCATGGTAAGACCTCAAGGAACGATTGTTCCAGCCAGTGCTTCATTACGATAGGCAAACCCGGCCACCACGTCAAGGTAGCAACAATGGTCGGGTATTTTAATTCAAGCTGCTAACTTAAAATTTGCTGAGAATAGAAATGAATTAGTGAGATGTAGGATACCTCAAAAAAACTATAAATCTAATCGATAACAAAAGAATATGAAAGTTAGGAATGCTCACCGAGAGAGGATGATTTCGATGACATGGGGCAAGCTTATTTGCGATATTAAGTGCACCATAAAGACAGCTAGATATCCAATGGCTAAGATCAGTGGTAGACATGATGCTCCCATTTTCCAAACAAATGGAAACAAGTTCTGAGAACGAACCAGATGAACGCTTAGAATCTAAAGCAGGAATTGGGAATTTTTTATACTTCATTGCCTTCTTAAAGGAATAGATGAAAAGTTGTTTGGAAATCACAAAAAAAGTTTAAAACGTGAATTAACAGTTATCCCCTGATACTTAAAGTCACAAAATCGCTATCCTAAACAAATTAATTGAGCTGTGTCACATTTGGGTGGAGAAACCAGGCAGGTTACTTGTGAAGCATGTATGACATTTTACTCCTATATCCAATGCTGATTAGAATAGGACTAAACTAGTAAAACAAAATTGACGTAGTTAGAAAAAGACAAGGTATTGATATACGAATATTACTTACTTACTTACGCCTGTTACTCGCAATGGAGCATAGGCCGCCGACCAGCATTCTCCAACCCACTCTGTCCTGGGCCTTCTTTTCTAATTCCACCCAATTCTTGTTCATCTTTTTCATGTCTATTTCCATTTCTCGGCGTAGTGGGTTCTTTGGTCTTCCTCTTTTCCTTTGGCCTTGAGGATTTCATGTGAGGGCTTGTCTTGTGGCGCAGTTGAGTGCTTTCCTCAATGTGTGTCCTATTCACTTCCAGCGCTTCTTCCTGATTTCCTCCTCCGCTGGGATCTGGTTTGTTCTCTCCCACAGTACGTTGTTGCTAATAGTGTCCGGCCAACGGATCTGAAGTATTTTGCGTAGACAACTGTTAATAAACACCTGTATCTTCTGGATGATGGCTTTCGTTGTTCTCCAGGTTTCCGCCCCATACAATAGAACTGTCTTGACATTTGTATTGAAAATCCTGACCTTAGTGTTGGTTGACAGTTGTTTTGAGTTCCAGATGTTCCTCAGTTGTAAATATGCTGCTCTTGCTTTGCCGATCCGTGCCTTCACATCTGCATCAGATCCACCCTGTTCATCAATGATGCTGCCCAAATATGTAAAGGTTTTTGCATCTTCGAATATGCTTGTTATTAATGAGTTGTGTATGGAGCAATTTCAACGAGTTTGCCAGAGTCCTCAGTATGACTTGTTAGTCAACAAGATGATCTAGGTACTGATAGATCACCGATCACTAAAGCTGAAAACGTTTCCAACTACAGATATATCCACCTTCTGTTTTTCAAATCTTGAACATTTTATTACACGCTATTTCTTCATATCACTATTGTTTGTCTTCATATTTTTACTCAAGCTCCCAATTTTGGGGAAGTCGCTATAGTAAACTTTGTGGAATAAGTATACTTATTCCTTTCCGTACTATGAAAAGGAGTGAAAACCTAAACCAATCCAATATTGTAGAACTTTGTCGAATGTCGTCAAGAAATAGTTGCCGCATAAATGCTGAGTCACATTTCTTTTTGTAAACACCATAGTAAAAGATGGGCAAAAAAGGGCAAAGTAGGGTCTATGTCATCGGCAAATCTTTATGTCGACCAATAAATAGCCTAGTACCATCAAACATCACCGGATGTGACGCAGGAGTTTATCACATGAAAATCGGTTGAACCTATGATAGGAACAAGTGAGATATATAATTCCTCCAAAAACGTACAGTGTATATGCAAACCACAAACAATAACAGTAAACTCCTAGATTATCAAGTACGATGAGGAAATTTAAATTTTTCAGTCATCTAGATAAATAAAATGCAACTTCCCAGTAATGTACACTGATTTAATTGGATGGACAGTTATTTGCAAACATACAAGATGTGGCAGGAATCTCATAAGGCCATTCAAATGAAACCGTTGATAACGAAAACTTACAAAACTCCTTAGGAAAATGTTAATCATTACCAATGAAAAATGCTTATTCTAGTACATTTAACATGAAGAACAGCATCAGCAGAATGGCAAACTTCAGCGAAATATGGGCTACGCTAGCAAACTTTCCCCTCCATCTAGAGTGAGAAGTTAAGTCAGTAACAGATATGAACGATCTTAACTACGTAAACAATCTCAGAACCCCATATACTCCAAGAAAACCAAATACATAACATACAAATTTTGCAAACACGTACCTAGAAAAAGCCTTGCCATTAGCGGTTGTAAGAGGTTGCATAACAGGACAAGAAACAACACCAGACAGGAAATAAACAGCGTACTGAAATTGCTTTTTATAAATGATCTATAAATAATGACTTGTAATTAAAAACTCACAAGAACACAAGGTGTACGAATGCTGTGAAAACAAGACTTGGGACCACACGCTCCCACAGAAGTATTGTCTGAACGCGAAGAATTATGAACTCCCATTGACTTATAACACTATAGACATCATAGAAAAACTTATCATGGGGACTTCGCATAGTGACATTCAGTTTTTGGTAGATTAGTAATTAGGTCGGGGGAATGTGGCTGCTGAGTGTAGGGAAGTTTGATTCTGAGAATCTGGAAGAAAGAAGAGCAGGAGAAAGAGAATTCAGTGCATGCAATATTTACTTATTTATTTTAACACCTAAACATTGGCACAAAGGGGCACTTGTTGTGCTAATGAGGTGTGGCAACTTGAACTGATGCATACATGTGCCTAGTCATACGTTGTAGCTGACTAACTGAAAAGGAGACACGAAACATATGTGCCAGTAGTAGTTATCACTGATTTGTGTGAAGAATTGGATACGGTTCAGGTGCCCAAACTGAGGCAGCTGGTTTTCTTAGGAGGCCACTACCCGAGCCTTTGACCTAGAGGTTTAATCCACAAGACAGTAGAGCAACGTAAGGAGATACAGTCCCATGGTAACCGGTGACCAACAATACGTTTATACGCCATTTCTTCCTTCGGGATCCTGGAGCCCATGTGAACCATTGGTTTGAAATCAGGGTTTTCCAACTCTTCTAGATGGGTCATTCCTATCTATCATCCAGGGTAAAGCTCCAGAGATTCGCTTTTTATCCCCTCATTTTCGTAAACAACACCCCCACTGAGAAAAGACAGTGGCTGCATACGCATGACCACTCCACACCCTAGGGTGGGCAGAGCTCTGCCGTACCAGGGCACTTGTAGGCATACATATTGTACACATAAGATGCGGTAAAGTGATCAGTCTTCAGTAATAAGGATAGTAGGTTGGTGAACCTGTATTAATCCTGACACACTGCTTTCCAGTGAAGGTCCAGCTTCTCCTTGAAAGTATTCACTGATGGGGCTGATACCACTTGTTCGGGTAAGGTGTTCCAATCATTGACTACTCGATGAGAAAAACGGGACCCCACTTTAAGTTTATTAGATCGTGGTTTATGAACCTTCTTGATATGACCCCGGAGATTATTAGTGCTGGAGGGAGCAAAAAGATCAGACATATTAACACCCAAATCATAATTAAAGATACGAAATGCCAGTATAAGGTAACCTCGTGTCCTACGATACGACAAGGGGAAAAGATTTAGGCGTTTTAAACGCTCACCGTAAGGGAGTCTAGAAAGACCCTTCACTTATTTCGTTCCTAGACGCTGGACACGCTCAAGGGAGTTAGTATCCTTTGAGCGTGATGAGACTATAATTCATGGACGGCCTTTGAGCGACGCCGAAGTGACCTTGAGAGTGTCTACCTAATTGCTAGGGATGAACGAGGGTTAAAAAGCAGTTTAAAGAATAAGGATTATGATGGGTGATCTTATCCGCAACGCAACCATGTAAACTTAATGTATCGGTCATCTGTGCGTTCAAGTAACCACAGATTTTGTCATTTCATAATGTATTTTTAATTAAATAACTAGATTATATAGCTAATTTTGATCTTTTTTTTATATTTTTATTTGCCACGTCCGACTGCGTTACACTGCACGTCCATTGCATGCTGGGATGATATCTCAAGTTATAGTGAGTTTATTCACATAGTTGATTGTTTCCAGATAGACTGTCACTGCATGATTTTACTGTAGAAAGGTTTATTGTACTATAAACTATGTTTTTATGAACAAATACCTGTTGTCTTCAGTCGGAAAGCAATATATATATTCTTTGTCTTCCGTTCGGTAAGTTCAATTGGCCTACATTTCGTGTTTTTGTTTTATAGTCTTTATTATGTCCATTTAAATACTTTAAGCAATATGCCTGTACAAATGAAACAATAACTATGACACTTGCTTAGTTTAGTATTCTTGGTTGTCGTATAATTCAGTTTAGTTGAAAGAATTATGGTATACTTAAGTATAGTGCTTGAAGTCTGTAACGAAACAGATCAGTCTAGTAAGTAGAGTTGCCTGTTTCTGATGAGTATACTAATTCAAATCAGTCTGATTAAAAATAGGAAAAAAGTGCTTTTGGTACTGTTGCTGTCATACATTATAAGATAGCGATAAGTATGTTTGGTGTTTATTTCTAGATTGTACATCTATCACTGACCATATTTCATGATCACTGTCATTAAACAATTTCCCCAGCAATAACATCGGTAGCAGGATAGCTAAGTGTGTGAGCTTTTATTTGCCCACAGAAGAGCAGTATTCAGTCTTAGAAGATGAGTGTTCTGTATCTCAATTAAATGCAGTTGGCTGTGGACAAATGTTAAGGATCTTTTTGACTACTAGGACTTTTAGTTCATCAAACACTAACTCTGCTTGTATGTCTCCCTGTTAAACTAGATGCAGATACATGGTAATACTTAAATGAGAGCAAAATAATAAAAGCATTGAGATACGGTATTAAGTCCATGTTATGCTTTGCACAAGTAATAGCTGACCTGACCTAATATTCATGAACTAAAGGTAAATCACAATTGCATAAATTCTTTGCTAAAAAACATGTAATTTGGTTATTTACCTATTCCACATTTCTGACTAAATTCATCACTATTTTTTCATTTAGAATGCAACAGGAGTGAGCCTTCAGAAATCCTAAAAACTATTTCGCACTTGGAACTATGGCCCTGTTTACTGGAGACCCAACTAACAGCAGATTATAAAAAGAATGCTGGACGTACATTTTAGTTTCACAACCACTTCCAGTACTTTCTGAGTTACTTCTTTTACCCTTCGTTTGGAAAAACAACAAAAACTGCAGCTTAACATTACAAATGCAACTTGTAGACTGGAACTCGGTTTAAACCTTTGTTTGATATTCGATTCTTAATGAAAGTTCTCGAATAAATTTTTGAACCTAATGCTACTTTGTTTTACATACTTAATCGTTGCAAGAAACTTGTGATAATCGAGCCTCTCATCACCTAATTCATGTGTTCAGGCTTCCGTGTCTAGTAGCAGGGGATCACCAAAACCTGCAAGCAGGAACCTAGGTATGTTAACAATAAAAGATCCAGTCGCCTCCCAAAGGACTCCTGGGAAGTCGCTTGGACTAGTTCGGCGGGCAGCGAATTCCAGCATCCGACAACTCTTAAGGAGTAGAAGTTGCGCCTACAGTCCATTCTGCTATGTCGTGTCTCTAGTATCTGGGATTAAGCTCATGTAGGTGTTTAAGATAATGTCCAGAAGTGTTAAGGATCCTGTAAGTAAATAGGTCACCTCTAAGACGTCTATACTTTAATGAGTAGAGATTAAGTGATTAAAGGCGCTCTTCATAAGGTGATTTGGTGCATATATCCGTCATTTTCTTGGGAAACCTACAGGCTCGGGTCCTCCCACAACTTATTCTAGCCACCATGAGTTGCCACGAAAACTGATGGATGGACACGCGTTACACATCCTAACCGTCCCTGCGTCTAATCTCATAGCTTCTTATTCAAATGTCATATGATAAGCAAGTAATGCTTCTACCGACACTAATGGAAGACGAGTAATTCAAAGGCTCCCTGTATGGTACTTTAGATTGGTCTACGCACTCGGCTTTTTATTGAAAATATTACTACAGTCCTGCTAAAAATCCCATGAACCCACCTATCACCATCAAAACAATAAGTCTGCATTTGCTGCATATAGCAATTTTATTTTTCAGAAGATATATAACAGTTAGAATTGGAGTAAAATAGCAATATACAGCAGATGCACGTGGTACATGTCTTCATCGATCAACTGAAATAGAGAATACGGATATTAGTTTAACATGCTTATCTAGAAAGACTAGTGTTTACTTTGAACTTACTGAGTGAGAAAGTTATACTGGAACTGTGAATAATGTAGGAATCTAGTCTCCCAGGGCGTACGAAGCACTCAAACTGGAAGACAGTTGTCCCAAAATAATTCGAATATGAAGGTGAGAATTTGCAGGTACTTTTCATCGTAAGGGTGAACATATTCGATAACGGTTGACATGACACCGTAAAAAAACACAAATCTGCGAGTGGTGAATTATGGTCTATAAAAAGCTGGGCTTAATAACAGTTAGTTACCTTTTTACTTTCTGATCATGACACTTCGGCTTCCTTTTGTGGCCAAAACACCAAACATACACTACACACTGATAGCAGATTTCCGGCTTTTCAATGTTAAGCTTGCTTTAACGCACTACGTAATGCGTATAACCCCTCCATTACTGCTATGTGGCATATTTTTTCATAACAAACCCTCTGCAATAGATTGGTAGCATCTGTGACTTCGTCTATGGTTGTCGGAAGCCTGGGTACTTTCGAAAAAAATACTGACATCCCATACTGCTAGGAACTAAGTATTAGTTTGACTCGTTGTGGGATATTTTTGTCCGCAATACTGAAGAAAATTAAAAACCGTAAATAGGTTCCTTTCATTTTGCCGATAACATCATAAAGTACGGTTAGGAATGAACATGCGGACAGTTAGTCACAGGAGGCAGCAACAGTTATTTCAGCTAAGAAAAAACGAACTTCGGCTTTGGATATTTAGAAAACAAGTCAAAACCAAACCGATTTCCATTTCAAAACATAAGACTAACCAGCTTGACTGAAGAATTACATTGACTAGAGTAGAAGCAGTAAAAACCCAAAAACAATGCTGATTCGAAGTAAATTTCACACCAACATGTGGAACATTACACTAACTGCGGCATCTTAGCACATTGAAACATTAATTACATAGCTACACAAAAGAAATAGCTAAAAGAAGCACAGAACGAAGAAAGCCGGCCGCCATTACGTACAAGGATGGCTGACATAATAATTCCCGCCACATTCTGATTGGTTGCTAAGCTGAAGAGCACATTTACGAAATTGAGTTGCGTTTAATTGCAGCCATTATGATTCATAGTTGATGGTTAGGATTAAGAATTAAACCAGTTTTTCACCACGAACTGCCAAATGAGTGAGCAACCACTGATTGTATTCACAAACTACATTCCATCTTCAACAAGAAAGTAACACGTGGCTCACCCATGACTTTGGTTTACCATAACTGCTTATAGGATAACATTTAGGAGGATACAAAACACGAAGATGAACGCCCCGAAACAATACCCATTTAATAGTGGGTAAGTAGCTTAAAAACGCTTAAGCAAAATGCTATTTAAATGTAAGAATAATCAAACCGCTTGACAAACGACAGAAGCTGGACAAACTTCGACCAAACTACTTTTAGCTGGCCATGTAGGATTGAACAAGGCACAAGACAGATGCCTGTCACGGACTAAAATGACCTCAGTTCATTTTGCACGACCTTGAAGAGATTTCAGATTCAGATTTGTGTAATAAGGACAGAAGGCCTATGACCTGCAGTATTCCTTTTCCATTATCCTTTTGTGAGTGTCTAGTCTTCCCTTAAATGAGTCAGTTGGTGGTGCGGACACTGCTGCTTTGTGTAATAGGTCCCAAGAATTGATGACTCGATTTGAAAACCTATATGCCGCGACTATTTTCTTCGTTCTTGGCTTTTATGCTCACATGTTATGTTCTCTGAGATGTTTCGAAAGAGTATATATCAGGTCCACAATCATTCCATTACGTCAAAATCAGATCACCTTATAATCCGTGACAAGATAGAGTAAATAGGTCTTGCTTGTACGACCAGGTAAATGTTACTGAGCCCTAGCCAAATCAGTTGAGTCACTGAATATAGAACGGATCATCGATCCTTGTCAAAGTCAAGGACAACAAACACGCATCAGTTAATCGTACGCCACGTTCTGGCCATGCGTTGGTGGTCACACTTTTGCTTGTACCTACTTTAAATGATATATTTCTGTAATAACATCGTTTGCGTTTTACGATCTTCAAAGCATTCATAGTACCTTGATACGAAGAAGAGGTAATCCACGTTAAGTGTTGACCTCGAGGTTTGACTTCGACATTGGCTGTTGGTCACACCATTCCCGTCCAACTCGAGCAGGCCTCCAATCGTTCGACGGAGATCATATACGTTGGTGGTCCACACTGGTGAGCAGGACTTCGAGTGACGCAGCCTTTCATCATTATCTTTATTGTTGCACTCTATACATATTCTTTTTCATTTTTATCGTCGCCTAAGTTAATCGATTACTGTGAACATTCGTTGCTTCATATCAATGTCGATTAGTACTTGAACTTATATAACCAGTACGCACATCTGTCTGTAACTTATCTACTGGTATAAGCGAGACAACATTAACTGTCGATTATAGATTCATCTTTCTGCTTAATCATTACCAATTATCTTCTGTCCAAAACTAGTTAGTTTTTTTACTTACTTGACCACTAACTGCATAATTCCCGATTGC